TTTTTATTTTATGTATTGATAAATTAATATTATTTTTATTAATTTCACGTTTCAAAATTATATTTTTATTTCAATAATTAATTATAAAAACATTATATCTTTCGTTTTCGTTTATTTATGCAAAAAATTATCATTATGTTAAAAACTAGACGTAAACGTAAAGAATTTGTTGGACGGCGCCAACAATATCAAAGAGTAATGCAACCTGTAAACAAAATATTTGTTGCTAATGTTTCTAGTAGAACGCCTTGTAATAATTTGAAGCAATCAAACGAAGTATATAATAAATCATCAAATGATTTAGATACTAATAGAGTTAGAATTACTAATAATAAAACGAGTAACAATGAAAATCTTAAAAATGTAATTGCCTCTTCAAATTTACAATATGATAACTATTTAATTATTGATGCCGTGTCTGATATTTCTAACAAGATAATAAATAATTCTTTTGATACAGACATAAATAGTAGCTTAGATAATCAAAGTAATTTTATAAATGAATTAGTGAAATGGGTCACCGAAAGATATATATCACATTTAGCTGTAACAGATCTTTTGCACATACTTTCGCCCTACCACCCTGAATTACCTTTACATTCCCGTACGTTATTGAACACTCCAATTTCTACACCAATTAATAAATTTGAAACTGGAGAATTCTGTTACTTAGGTTTGAATATAGCTTTGAAAAATATATTGTCATAAAAGTATACCTAAGAATGTTGAAAACCAGGTGAAACATTAAAAATCTATTTTAATATAGTATCCCATTGTTTAAAAGTATGATATCCCATTGTTTCAAAGTAACAAATCACAACTATGGCCTATTCTTGGACTTATTAAAAATTTTCGTAGTATTCCATTTGTTATTTCAATTTTCTGTGGCACGTCAAAACCGAAACCTTTGAATCTTTTTCTAGCGAATTTTATAGCTGAATGAAATGATTTACTAAAAAATGGGTTTTTTATATATAAAATATAAATAAACATTCACATTTCTAGAACCAAAAGTTGTGAGTGATTCCAAATGCGCAAAATGTTTGTGGACACTATAGAAGTGTTTCGATATGGCTTTATTATTTTATTATTCTATATGAACCCAATTAATAAAAATGTGTATTCGATGTTGTTGTTTTTATGATATTTTTGATAGAATTCTCACAAGATTTATTTTGCTATATTAATATAAACTCATAGCCTAGCTATTTATAAGTTAACCTAAAAATATTAATTGCGCATTAATTGCATTTATATATAAAATACAAATAAACATTATATACATGAATGCGCGTTCGTGCGTATAATTACCAGCTTATCGATAACGTGGCCAGCCAAAATCTCCAAATATTCCTTCGATGTTTCCATAATCTTTTCCCAACAATGTATTTATCACAAATATGTTATATGTTATATATATTAATTAACAATGCACAGATTCACTCCAGTGTAAGCATTTGCTCAGTTTCACTAATGTAACCTAACTTTGCTCAATATGACATCGATTAAAAGAAATCTGTTTCCTTCCTTGCACTATTCCGCGTTAATGATCTCTTTTCACTTTATCACTTCTCTTCGTTGTTGCACTATTCCGCAATACTCTTATCACTTTTCGTCTTTTCATTGAATTATTCCGCGATATATACTCTTTAACCTTACATTATTATCTTATACGTATACATGCACATATACAACAACATTGTCTCTCAAGGCGTATTTGCACACTCAAGCGAATAATCGTACATGAGCGCTGCAAACGCGCCTTGAGGGACAAAATCGTTCTGCATGTGTGCGTACAAGCATACGTACGTCTTCTTCTTGTTCTTCCTTATTTTAATGGCCACTTCCGATCCAGATGATTAGCAATCCGGCCAACAACTGGTTAAAGAGAGGAAAAGTAAGGGAGTAACTTAAATTTGAGGATTTAAGAAAACAATGCAGGGAGTAAACAATCCCAGAGGAAGGATTACTAAGAATCGCTTGGTGGAATCGCAAATGGTGGAGACTTCTTGAATTTTTCTAGTTGGAATACGAGTTGCCTTCTTTGTGCGTTGTAGTAAGGACAGCTCCAAAAAATGTGGTCCGCGTCCTGCGTAGGTAATCCACATGGACAAGAAAGGTCTGCAACCAAATTGCATCGGTAAAGGCTGTGATTGAGGGCGTAATGATCGCTTCTAAGTCTGCAACAAGTGACGATGCTCTCACGGTTAAGTTTGAGTTTGTAAAACCATGGTTTGAGGGTGATCTCTTCAAACGAATTAAAGTACTTGATTCCTTTTAGATTGCCTTGAGTCTTGAGAAATTTAATTGAATCCACGATGTATTTCTTTCGAGGGATGGAGCAAAAATCAGAGTGAGGAATAAGTTTCGGAGATATCTGACCTTTGGAAATGGCTCTTTTCGCTAAGTAATCAGCCGTTTCGTTTCCTAAGATGCCTGAGTGCGCCGGAATCCATACGATGGTGTTCTCAAATCCCGCTGAATTAATCTCATATAGTTTTTGTTTTATGGCATAAATGATGTAGTTGTATGAGTGGGCCAGATTAATAGAGAAAAGAGCTTCGGTAACACTTTTGGAGTCGGTAAAGATGACGGATTTGGCAATGGAGTTGGTTGAAATATATTCTAGGGTGTGAAGTATGGCTAAAGTAGAGAATATAGAAGAAAAAGAGTGGGTCATGAAGAGAAATTGCAAATGAGAGGAAGGCGAATAGATGGAAAAACCTACATGATCGTCAAGATCATTTTCATCGTTATTTTGATTTTTGGAGGCGTCAGTGAAGAAAGAGATGCGAGTAGAAATCAGTTGATTATAGATATCAAAAAAGACAATTTGAGGGATAGGAACGTTCTTGATTTTTTCTACATCCCAAGGAATGGTGATAATGATTGAAGGAAAGAATGTAAGAGCATTGTAGTCAATAGAATAGACGGCTGGATAATCAAATTTAGCAATGTAAGGTTTCTTTCGGAGTAAGTAGTAAAAAGATCTGAATAATAGGAATTTTTCTGATGGGTTGATTCTCCGTGTTCTGCGTGAGTACCAAAGGAGAGAGAATAGTTTGTCTATGAGCGGATGAGAATCTAAAGAAAAGATTTTGAGGATGTATTTGGAGGAGAGAAAGCTGAATCTAAATTTTAGGGGGCCTTCCCCCGCTTCGGCGAGAAGAACATTCGTAGGAGTAGTTCTTTTGAGACTTAGACAGAGACGTATGGCGCGCAATTGGATTTTTTCGAGGTGGTACATTAAGGTATGGTTGTTGAAAAGAAAAATAAGACAGCCGTACTCCATAGAACCTCTGATAAGAAATTTATAAATGTTTAAGAGGGAACGGGGAGGTCCCCCCCGCCATGTTCCTCTCAGCATGCTGAGAATATTGAGTAATTTAGAGCAGCGGGTGGAAAGAGCGCAGATGTGATCTCTTCCAGAGAAGCAAAAGTCCAAATGAATTCCCAAAAATTTGCTTGAGGAGGAGGATTGGATCTCAGAATTGCCTTGCGACGACTTCTACTTCCGTCTCGCGGCCGAACGATAGACGCGTCCGCCGTTTCAATCTCTTCGTCGCGCCGATGGACGTTGCGCCGACGAACAGGAGCGAATTCGCCGAACGGGAGATGCGGGATAGTCGTTGACAAAAACGGAGAACAGAGAAAAAGGACAACGTGCCGAGTGGGAACGGGATGGTAAAGGTTCCGTGCGTGCCGTGACGAAATCCAAAAGATAATCGCGAGAATTGAACTTGGGCGCCAGATACGGTCTTTCACGCATCAATTCGCAAAACGCACGAAATAAGCGCGAGATAGACGCGAAAGAAATCGCTGGAATTCGCCACGGGCTGGCTAGCTCGCCTAACGGTAGAGGGGCAGGGCGAGTGTTGTTCTAACGCGATAATTTATGTAAGAGACGACAATAACGTGAACGACAAACACAACTGAAAATAAACTCGATAATTAAGCAAAGAAATTAACAGATTTATTATAATAGACGGGGCGATGCCCCGGAGAAGTCAAAAATGGTAACGATGACCGCGCGGATATTAGGCGGCGGTGACAATGCGAGTACGAGACTGGGTGTTAGAAACGGGGCGCTAAACCCCGACAGATATGCGCCGATGTCGGCCCGTTATATCGGCCGTAATTCTTTTCTCGGCGTTAAGTACGCCTCGCACCGCGTAAATGACAAATAGTATGTTTCGCCAGGAATTCGGGCGATATGATGTAACCCGATCCGATTCTCGATACCAAGCAAGGGCAGCGACCTGATCGCCCGCTATTGTTACTTAAAAACTAGTACGCAACTTACAACTAACAAACAATTCGCGAAACACGCACCTTCGTTACTTCCGGGCGAACGTGACACACGTACACGACGCT